GACAAGAACCAGGAAGTACAGTCACATTAGTCCTGACTAGAACCAGGAAGTACCATTACATTAGTCCGGACGAGAACCAGGAAGTACCATCACATTAGTCCAGACAAGAACCAGGAAGTACCATCACATTAGTCCAGACAAGAACCAGGAAGTACAGTCACATTAGTCCTGACTAGAACCAGGAAGTACCATCACATTAGTCCAGACTAGAACCAGGAAGTACCATTACATTAGTCCTGACTAGAACCAGGAAGTACCATCACATTAGTCCAGACTAGAACCAGGAAGTACCATCACATTAGTCCAGACTAGAACCAGGAAGTACCATTACATCTGTCCAGACAAGAACCAGGAAGTACAGTCACATTAGTCCTGACTAGAACCAGGAAGTACCATTACATTAGTCCGGAAGAGAACCAGGAAGTACCATTACATTAGTCCAGACAAGAACCAGGAAGTACCATTACATTAGTCCGGAAGAGAACCAGGAAGTACCATTACATTAGTCCAGACAAGAACCAGGAAGTACAGTCACATTAGTCCTGACTAGAACCAGGAAGTACCATTACATTAGTCCAGACAAGAACCAGGAAGTACCATTACATTAGTCCGGACGAGAACCAGGAAGTACAGTCACATTAGTCCTGACTAGAACCAGGAAGTACCATTACATTAGTCCGGACGAGAACCAGGAAGTACAGTCACATTAGTCCGGACGAGAACCAGGAAGTACCATCACATTAGTCCAGACAAGAACCAGGAAGTACCATCACATTAGTCCAGACAAGAACCAGGAAGTACAGTCACATTAGTCCTGACTAGAACCAGGAAGTACCATTACATTAGTCCGGACGAGAACCAGGAAGTACAGTCACATTAGTCCGGACGAGAACCAGGAAGTACCATTACATTAGTCCAGACAAGAACCAGGAAGTACCATCACATTAGTCCAGACAAGAACCAGGAAGTACAGTCACATTAGTCCTGACTAGAACCAGGAAGTACCATTACATTAGTCCGGACGAGAACCAGGAAGTACAGTAACATTAGTCCGGACGAGAACCAGGAAGTACCATTACATTAGTCCGGAAGAGAACCAGGAAGTACCATCACATTAGTCCAGACAAGAACCAGGAAGTACCATCACATTAGTCCAGACAAGAACCAGGAAGTACCATCACATTAGTCCAGACAAGAACCAGGAAGTACCATCACATTAGTCCAGACGAGAACCAGGAAGTACCATCACATTAGTCCAGACAAGAACCAGGAAGTACCATCACATTAGTCCAGACAAGAACCAGGAAGTACCATCACATTAGTCCAGACAAGAACCAGGAAGTACAGTCACATTAGTCCTGACTAGAACCAGGAAGTACCATTACATTAGTCCGGACGAGAACCAGGAAGTACAGTAACATTAGTCCGGACGAGAACCAGGAAGTACCATCACATTAGTCCAGACAAGAACCAGGAAGTACCATCACATTAGTCCAGACAAGAACCAGGAAGTACCATTACATTAGTCCAGACAAGAACCAGGAAGTACCATTACATTAGTCCGGAAGAGAACCAGGAAGTACCATCACATTAGTCCAGACAAGAACCAGGAAGTACCATCACATTAGTCCAGACAAGAACCAGGAAGTACCATCACATTAGTCCAGACAAGAACCAGGAAGTACCATCACATTAGTCCAGACGAGAACCAGGAAGTACCATCACATTAGTCCAGACAAGAACCAGGAAGTACCATCACATTAGTCCAGACAAGAACCAGGAAGTACCATCACATTAGTCCAGACAAGAACCAGGAAGTACCATCACATTAGTCCTGACGAGAACCAGGAAGTACCATCACATTAGTCCAGACAAGAACCAGGAAGTACCATCACATTAGTCCAGACAAGAACCAGGAAGTACCATCACATTAGTCCAGACGAGAACCAGGAAGTACCATCACATTAGTCCAGACAAGAACCAGGAAGTACCATCACATTAGTCCAGACAAGAACCAGGAAGTACCATCACATTAGTCCAGACAAGAACCAGGAAGTACCATCACATTAGTCCAGACACAAAACCAGGAAGTACCATCGCATTAGTCCAGACAAGAACCAGGAAGTACCATCACATTAGTCCAGACAAGAACCAGGAAGTACCATCACATTAGTCCAGACAAGAACCAGGAAGTACCATCGCATTAGTCCAGACAAGAACCAGGAAGTACCATCACATTAGTCCTGACAAGAACCAGGAAGTACCATCACATTAGTCCTGACAGAGAACCAGGAAGTACCATCACAGTGTCACCAGGAGCTAGAGTCACCAGGAGCTAGAGTCACCAGGAAGTACCATCACATTTAGCCCGGACGAGAACCAGGAAGTACCATCGCATTAGTCGAGCTAGCGTCACCAGGAGCTAGTGTCACCAAGAGCTAGTGTCACCAAGAGCTAGAGTCACCAGGGAGCTAGAGTCACCAGGAGCTAGAGTCACCAGGAGCTAGTGTCACCAGGAGCTAGAGTCACCAGGAGCTAGAGTCACCAGGAGCTAGAGTCACCAGGAGCTAGTGTCACCAAGAGCTAGTGTCACCAGGAGCTAGAGTCACCAGGAGCTACTGTCACCAGGAGCTAGAGTCACCAGGAGCTAGTGTCACCAGGAGCTAGCGTCACCAGGAGCTAGTGTCACCAGGAGCTAGCGTCAGCAGGAGCTAGCGTCACCACGAGCTAGCGTCATTAGGAGCTAGAGTCACCAGGAGCTAGTGTCATTAGGAGCTAGCGTCACCAGGAGCTAGTGTCACCAGGAGCTAGTGTCATCAGGAGCTAGCATCAGGAGCTAGTGTCACCAGGAGCTAGTGTCACCAGGAGCTTAAGTGTAGTCTCACCAAGACCTCCCCCTCCTCCTCGCCCTTCCACAGATCTTGTTCGTAGTAGTAGAGGCCGTCGTTGATGGCCTTGGCAAGGTCGGCCGTGATCCTGGCTCGTGACTCGTGGTTGCCGGAGCGATCGCCAGCCGGGTGTTTCCGTAGATACGGCGGCGTTTGCGTGACAATGAGCAGTTTGTCTACGTCAGTGTCGTCCAGTTCATAATCAGAGTCCTCGTCTTCGTCCGACCAATCGGTGAAGCGGTTCCTCCGGCCAATCAGCTCCATTTCCTCATCAAACAAAAAGTCCAGCTCCTCCTGCTGAGGGGGAGGGGCAAGGGCAGGTTCCTGAAGAAGACAAAAACAGAAGTTTGAACCAAGACCAGAAAGAGACCAGGGAGAGACCAGAGAGAGAGGCCAGAGAGAGACCAGAGAGAGAGGCCAGAGAGAGACCAGAGCCCCCCTGTTTTCACCGTGGATTTCCCGGACTGGTTGCGGTGTCGACGCTCCACTTGTATCCAGGCGTTAGGGTCGATGTGGGGTTGGTCCTGGTCCTGGTGCTGGTCCTGGTGCTGGTCCTGGTGCTGGGGGGGCAGGGGAGCTGGGGGGGCCTGGTCTATAGACTCGGACTTTTCTTCACACGTCTTTGTCGGCGGCGGTGAAGCTGGAAAAGCCACAGCTAAACTTTACCTGCTCTGTCACAAGAGCAACCAAATAGACCAGAGAGAGAGACCAGAGAGAGACCAGAGAGAGACCAGAGAGAGACCAGAGAGAGAGACCAGAGAGAGACCAGAGAGAGACCAGAGAGAGAGACCAGAGAGAGACCAGAGAGAGAGACCAGAGAGAGAGACCAGAGAGAGGCCAGAGAGAGACCAGAGAGAGAGACCAGAGAGAGAGACCAGAGAGAGGCCAGAGAGAGAGAGACCAGAGAGAGAGACCAGAGAGAGAGACCAGAGAGAGGCCAGAGAGAGAGACCAGAGAGAGAGACCAGAGAGAGGCCAGAGAGAGACCAGAGAGAGACCAGAGAGAGACCAGAGAGAGACACCAGAGAGAGAGAGACCAGAGAGAGACACCAGAGAGAGAGACCAGAGAGAGACACCAGAGAGAGAGACCAGAGAGAGGCCAGAGAGAGACCAGAGAGAGACACCAGAGAGAGAGACCAGAGAGAGAGAGACCAGAGAGAGAGACCAGAGAGAGGCCAGAGAGAGAGACCAGAGAGAGAGACCCAGAGAGAGGCCAGAGAGAGACCAGAGAGAGACCAGAGAGAGACCAGAGAGAGAGACCAGAGAGAGACCAGAGAGAGAGACCAGAGAGAGAGACCAGAGAGAGAGACCAGAGAGAGAGCCAGAGAGAGACCAGAGAGAGACCAGAGAGAGACCAGAGAGAGACCAGAGAGAGCAGAGAGAGACCAGAGAGAGAGACCAGAGAGAGACCAGAGAGAGACCAGAGAGAGAGACCAGAGAGAGCCAGAGAGAGACCAGAGAGAGACACCAGAGAGAGACCAGAGAGAGAACCAGAGAGAGAGACCAGAGAGAGAGACCAGAGAGAGAGACCAGAGAGAGAGACCAGAGAGAGAACCAGAGAGAGACCAGAGAGAGACCAGAGAGAGCCAGAGAGAGAGACCAGAGAGAGAGACCAGAGAGAGAGACCAGAGAGAGAGAGAGAGAGACCAGAGAGAGCCAGAGAGAGGCCAGAGAGAGACCAGAGAGAGACCAGAGAGAGACCAGAGAGAGAGACCAGAGAGAGACCAGAGAGAGAGACCAGAGAGAGACCAGAGAGAGACACCAGAGAGAGACCAGAGAGACACCAGAGAGAGACCAGAGAGAGACCAGAGAGAGACCAGAGAGAGACCAGAGAGAGAGACCAGAGAGAGAGACCAGAGAGAGACCAGAGAGAGACCAGAGAGAGACCAGAGAGAGAGACCAGAGAGAGACCAGAGAGAGAGACCAGAGAGAGACCAGAGAGAGACCAGAGAGAGACACCAGAGAGAGACCAGAGAGAGACCAGAGAGAGACCAGAGAGACACCAGAGAGAGACCAGAGAGAGAGACCAGAGAGAGAGACCAGAGAGAGAGACCAGAGAGAGACCAGAGAGAGACCAGAGAGAGACACCAGAGAGAGACCAGAGAGAGACCAG